CCGACAAGGTCCGGGCCAGACACCAAGCCGGGTCCAGGCCCCAAACCCATTTAGACAGCCCTACACGTGGACTTCTTGATGTCCAAACGAAGTTATCCCCCGATATTTCCTCCTCCCAAATTAAAAATAAAAAAAAATGCAAAGACAATTTTCATAACATAGCAGGGGAAAATCCAGAATTTTTTTCTATTAAGCACATTTACAATTATGCGTATAAATTAAAAATTACATGATGTATACTCTAGCAAACAATAGTGGTAAAGATCTCAATACATACTACTTTTCATTATTATTTTCTCATTGATACATTATTATTTTTATTTTCATCGCAAAAACTAACAAAAATTAAATTAAATTACAACAATATGCCTTCGTAATCGTATCTGGTTATCAATTTAAGGGGGCACCTACATAAAATACATGGGCGCATCATTATCAATTTCTATATCTACTAATTAAACAAATAAATTTTGTTGAAAATTAGATATGCAACTATACTCCCAATTTTCCACATGAAAAAAAGGTTTAAGTTGTTCGCGGAAAATTACAACGACATCTACAACTTTAATTTTCGACATAAGAAAAGTAGTTATTTTGTTTGCAGATAATTACAACAGCAACTACAACTGCAAATATCAACATACTGAACAATGTTATACATGCAAAAACACGGTGGTGAAGAAGTCAAGGGATATGAAGCATGCAACAAACAGAATACGTACAGTCTAAGGAAGATGGTCAAGGTTATGAATACACCAGTTTTCTCACATCCCCAGTCAGGCACTGCATACACTTACTTGACCAGCAGCCTCTGCAACTGCACAACAGGCACCCCTTTGCCTGAAAATATAAATAATTAATGCCATACTTTCAGTATCAAATGGCACCCTTTGCAAGGTTTGACCAAATGGAGAAAAATAATTCACATTGAGTTTGGTAGCAAGCACATAAAGCCAAGAGAAAAAATTGCATATTTAAGTGCTGCACACTATGAAAAGCACATAAATGCCTACATTTGAAGTTATGTCTCCTCAGGTCACACTATGAAAAGATATAGATTTACAGAAGATGCAACATGACTGAGATACCAATATACGTACTGAGATACCAATATACAACTATTTCAACAGAACTTGCTCAAACATAATGAATCTGTTAATCCAAGAACCTTAAAGAAGTACCCTCAAGCTTTCTGCCTGACATCATGTTATTTCATATTCCAGACGTACCACTCATGAAAATTTTGTTCCAAACATTGATCAGCTGAATAGATATTGTAGTTTTCCATCTTATCCTCTTTTTGCATGATATATTTTATGCCAAGAATGTATAACAGAAAAAGGAATTTGAGAGTGAAACAAATCCTGACAAGCATTCAATATGCAGTGGATGATAAATGGCCGAAACTGCAGTTCAGCTGATGCCTTTGAAGACATAACATCATCACTCTCATCTTGTCTTCTAGAATAGGCACTTGAACAAACTACACAGAGATGGCATAATAATTCTACACAATTTCCCTCTTTGGAATCACACTTCCACAACTCAAATATCTTCTTCATCACTTCGAGGGCAACGACTGGCCAGACATTCAAAGATGGAAGATTCTACCATACCATAAAGTTCAATCTCACATTTTAGCAGAATGTAATAAAAGAGGGATGGGTTTATTGGCGCTTAAATCCCATAACTAAGAGACTGAATGGAAATATGGAATAGTCAGACCATTACAACTTGTAGGCCATCTGGAAAGAAATCAATGAGCATGCTTTCAACTCAAAGCATCAGATTGAGAGAGATATCAATGGGTGTGCTTCACATTTCGTGGAACTATGGCTTGATCATCTATGGTTGCATAGAATTAGAATACCAAAAATTATTTCTAATTTATTCTCATCCCACCATCCGCCATGTATTTTCATGTGTTTAAATATTAGTTTTCTTTACTATCAATAAATTTCAAGCCCATTTGTTTCCCTATTGGACTTCAAAACCCCAAAATGAGATTGTATATCAGTCATCCAAGTTCAGTGAGAGTCTTGATATGAAATCAGTCTTGAACACCACAGGTGTTAATGTCTCGCATGAGCAGAGAGCACAGTCTTCCTCCGACTGGTTTTTTCTTTTAAAAAATATTTTTTTAAGGAATGGACGTGTTGAGTATGCATTATTGCTAGGGGTGCATTCGGTGCGTATACGGCTCGGATATGAAGCTTATCATATTCATATCCGCTTACCCATTTCGGATACGGATGCAGATACAGATATACCTCGGTAAGAAAAATTCATATCCATATCCGCTAAAATCGGATACGGTTACGGATATACACTCGGATATATAAGCAGATATGCATGTAGATACAAAATGGATATGAGAAAACTAGATAGTATTGAGAAAAACAAAGTTCATGTAATACAAAAGAGTTTGTTAATATATTCATTATAACTGAAAAGCTAAAATTAGACATATTAATCATCAAAATTAACCACAAATCCAAAATTTAAGAATTAAAACTATCGTAAGAGTATGATTAATATGCATTCGGATATTTCAGATACGGATCCGGATCCGTATATTTCACTACAAAACCATATCCGTAACCATATCCTATCGGTTATAGATTTGAGTAACCATATCCATATCCTAACGGATACGGTTTCGGATATTTCCTCGGATACGGTTTAGCACCCCTAATCATTGCTCCAGATATCCTAAAAATTTAATTCCACACATATTGTACCAAGATATCACCACGTAAAATTTGATTAAGGGTGATTTTTTGAACCAATAAAACCTAATAGGTCGAGCCCAAGAAATTGGGGGTTGTAGGAAGCATTTGGGACATGCGTGAAGTCTAATACGTTGGCTTTATAGACCTTGTGTTCCATGGATATATAGTATTCTGCATGCCTCAAGGAACCATTGTTATAAAAAGCCGAAGAAACCCTGTTAAAGCTCCGGTTAGTTGAAATAATGATGTGACCACTTCAGCCAAAAGATGTAGCAAAGAGCCCCTAATGCCATTTTTTGCAATTTTAGCTCGTTATCAAATAATTTCGCGGAGACCAAAATTCACAATTTGATGAGCTAGTGCCCATGACTTTTGGTCATTTTTAGTCGTTTCGACCCATCCAGAAATAATTTCGCAGAAACCAAAATTTATGATTTTATGAGCAATAACTCATGATTTTTGCCTATTTTTATTCATGGTCACTTATTGGGAAATAATTTCGTGGAGGCTAAAATTCACAATTTCAAGAGCTATTATTACCCACGATATTCGGCCATTTTTAATTGTTTTGATTCGTTAATAAATAATTTTGCATAGGCTAAAATTTATAATTTTATAAGATATGGTCCACTAGTTTTGGCTATTTTTAGTCATTTCAACCGCTTAGCAAATGGTTTAATTGATGCCAAAACTAACTATTTCTTCGGCTACAATGTATGGATTTTGACCTTTTTTAAAGTCGTTTTGACCTGATGATAAATTATTTTGACCCATTGATAAATAATTTCATGGAGACAAAATTTTAAAATTTCATGAGCTATAACCCATAATTTTTTTAATCATTTTGACTTCTTGTAAAATAATTATGCGGAGGGTAAAATTAAAGATTTCATGAACTGTAACCTACAACTTTGGCTATTTTTGGTCGATCTACACATTAATAAATAAATTTACAGAGACAAAAATTCAAGACTTCATCAGCTATAATTCATTACTTTTGGCCATTTTTAGTTATTTCAAATCGATCGCAAATATTTCGCGGAGGCTAAAATTCACAATCCATGAGCTATTATCCACAAAGTTTGGTCATTTTCTATCGTTTCAACCAATTATCAAAGAAATTCGTGGAGACCATAATTCAGAATTTTAGTTGCTATTTTCCACAATTTTTTGCCACTTTTACTCATTTTTGACACATCAACAAGTAATTTTGCTGAGGGAAAAATTCATAATTTTATGAACTATATCGCACAAATTTTGGCCATTTTTAGTACACATTTGAAATGATTTTGTGGAGGCCCAAGTTCACTATTCCCTGAGCTACTACCCATGATTTTTGGCAATTAGATACAAATTAGATTTTATTATAATTGACTTTGAGATGTTTCATATGTATTACTTGTCACTATCTATAAATTTGATCCATCAAAGCCATCTCCATCTATATTAGAGTTTTCCCAATCTCTATCTTTTTAATTCTCTTTTGTTGTTTACTTTTAAAATTTAGTAAAAAATATGCATGGCACTTGTCGCTACTATAGCCCACTACAACCCCGAAAGCGTAAGCAATGTCCCGCAACTTCCCTCCACTTTTCACTTTTCACAACAACGTAAGAGAGCCACCAAATGTTAGCTATGAAGCCTAGGGAATAAAAAATGATTTACCCTTGTATAATGTGCCTAAAGTAATGCACCAAGTGTTTGAAATTTACATTTAAATGGTGGGGTCTAACGCTTATTTATCATTGCCTTTTGAGAGTTTTGTGACTTGGAAGCAGATTTTGAGATAGCAGTTCTCTTCATTTAGAAAACAATTTCTTTGCCCCTCTGCCGAAATGAGGCCTCAACAACAGCAATAGACATGTCAATTTCAGAATTTGCACTGCAGTAGCAGAAGCTAGAGGAGCTCAAGTA